TCCTCCGTCTGGACATGTCGGTTCATGGGGACGTGACTTTGGCAGAGGCCAGGCTGAGGGGGCTCATCGGGTGTGGTTCCTTGGCTTTTGAGTCATGAGGGCTTCGAGGTATAGTGAGTGTACAGCAGGTAGGTTTGGGTTGAGGTTTTGAGGTTTCAGGATTCAAGACCTCGGGCTCCTTGTGCGTTTATGATGTCACGAAGATGTCACTCTCCCACTTTAGAGTTTTTCTTCTGCTTTGGAGGGCATCTCCTCGGTGCCCAAGCCAACCTGGTAACCCTGGGTTGGGCTTGAACCAGGGGTCCGAATGAGGTTTCATAGGGTTTTGGGGATTTTGGGTTTTGGGAGACCGAAGCGGCATGCATCTCAAGAAGACCAACTCTCGCCTCTGTGCCTTGCAGCCTGTCAATTCTTTTTCCCTGCGCAGCTGCCGTACAAACGATAGCTTGCTATCATAGGTCTCTAGTCTAGACTGCTTGGGTTTTTTTTTTGGAGTGCTAAAGCTTGGGCCTTTGCGCTTGACACCTGGTGCTCCTGGCCCACGTAGGATTGAGCGTTAGGGTTTAGGGCTTAGGGCTTAGGGCTTAGGGCTTAGGGCTTAGGGCTTAGGGCTTAGGGCTTAGGGTTTAGGGTTTAGGGTTTGGGGTTTGGGGTTTGGGGTTTGGGTTTTTGGGTTTAGTGTTTCTACGATTCAGCGTTCCACGCCCATTTTTCGAGACAAGGACATATCCTATTCTGTTTATGCGTATGCTTTACACGTATGTCCACGCGCATGTGTGGATGCAGATGTTTAGGATTCGAATGCCAGGTGTAAGCAGTGTGAGGTCGAGAATGCTTGAATTTCGGGTTTTAAAGGTGGTTTCAGCTTGGCGTTGAGGAGGTCATGTAGATCTCTCCCCTAGCAAAAGCAGGAGCATCTTGACAGGAGACTTCACGTGTGCGTCGCCACCGATGGGGCACCAGGTCTTGGTTTGGGGCGATCTAAGAGTTTACTTGGTGGTCCAGCGGTGCCCGTTTGCTCTTCGTGGTTGTTTGCTCTGGGTTCCCTGATAAGGTAACAACAACCCTGAAAAAGGTGTATATACCCTTATTAGAATATGGTTACTGGCCTGGGCTACCAAGGATCCTACCATCGTTAAACTTTGTTGAGGGTATAGCTTGGGGGCCTCTACCCTCCAGGGTGCTATCGGTGTAGGTACAAGTAGAGTTCTAAATGGAGTTGCCAGGATGTTCATTGAATGGTAGTACAACTTTCGTGCTGGAATCCCCATTTGCAGGAACCAAGCCGGATTTTTCTTGAGCAGTTCATTGGAGGGAGGATTGATTACTAGGATTTTTTCTATGTTTTCACGTGAAAACAACTACATGTGTGTTCATACCTCCCTCACAAAAAGTGTTCTTACAGAAGTCGGCGCTTGAGTTACCCACGTTGGAACTTGGCTGCTTTAACTGCTCGAAGGAACCAGTTAACCTGGACGCGTTTTGGACCTCCATAGCTCTTTCTGAGAGCTCCTGCGAACCAGTGCCCGTCCTACCGCGGGGCTGCAGCATGAGTTGACTCTCCCTACCCCTCCGTGATTTGCACCCCTATGTCACCCCAGTTGGCCCTCATTTGCCCCGAAGCCTTGAGGCTGGAGCTCGGCTCTCGCCATCGCTTCACACTTGGAGAGGTGGAGCAGTGGCAGGAGGCCGGAACCTGGGGTCGCATGTGTGCGTGCAGATGTTGATGATTGTATGTATCTTTACATGTACATGTATCCTAGCATACAAACGTTTGTGTATGTGTATATGTGTATGTAGCGCTTGGTGTGTTTGTATTGCATTTCCGGGCTTGTGCGCGCATTGGGGTGCGAGTCGTGAGTTTTTGGCGGCTTTGATGCGTGATGTTTTTGGACTCCCGGTTGTCCTAGAGGCGCGTCTGGGCGGGCGAGGTTTGGCTTACAGAGGTGCATCTTGGAGGGCGCATTTTGGCTTAGCGATGTGCGTTGGCATCGAAGCCGGGTAAAGGCCAAAAGTTCAAACTCAAGCCTTAAACTATACACGAAGATTGGAAACAAGGACTGAACACCGCCACAGGTTTTCGGGTTTCAGAGTATCGGGTATGGGAATTGGGGGTCTGGGCATATAGCATTGCGGATTAGGTGGGCTTCAGGCTTGAGGCTTTGCGTATCGGGGGCTTAGAGAATCGGCTTGGGGCGTCAACCCTAAACCGTAAACACCTCGTCTAGATTTCTCAGCACAAATGCAACAGCTTGCGAGGCTCTGCGAAGATGGTGATTTGGCAAGACGCTGCTACCAGACGCGGGTGCTTTCGGCAGTGCCAAAAATTCTTGACTTGTCGGTGTGGGGTTGTTCCCTCTGCCCGAGCAGCATTGAAGTTCCTGCGTTCAGGGCTATGTTCAGAACAAGGTTTCTCGAGAACAGGGTTCGAGGGTTGTGCTGAGAACAGGGGTTTGTAGAGTTGGATCGGGAACATGGTTATCCAGCGAGCTTGTGTGGAGAACAGACTTATCGGTTTGAGGAGATTTTTTCCTGTTTGAACGTGAAACAACATAAGAAGGGGAGGCCCTCCTTTGCCATGAAACAACAAAAAAGGGGAAGCCCTCCTGTAACCGTAGCTTGAGCCGACCTCAACTAAAACCCCCCAACGTCGCAAACTTCAGGTCTTGGGCCCGAAGCTCCCCGCACCTCAGTTCCTCAACTCACCTTCCTCCTGTTCGGCGGTCTTGGATCTCCGGCCACATTTTCGAGTCTACCAGAGATGGACAGCCTGTAGTCGCTCGACTACAATCATGGTCCTTCGTCAAAAAATGGATTCTCCCAGCTCTGTGTTGGAAAATTTGCTCCTGCTTCATCACGCTTTATCAAATGACACGATAGGGCCCCACAAAGAAGGCATGTTGCAATAACCTAAGCTCCAAGCCTTGCACTCCAAATCCGGCCGTTTCGGCGCCCATTTTTCCGTTCTGCGGTACGACCCTAAGCCCTAAACCCTACCTAGACCACCCGTTTATATGTTTATTTTTGCGTGCTTGGAATTCCGCGGGTGAGGCTAGACAAGCCCGGAAAACGCGGGGCATCTAAATTTAAGCAGGTGATGCTTCGGGTGAACATACTTGGGAAAGGTTCAGGAGTATGCAAGCTCTTTGCTCTCCAAAGATGCCTCTTCGAAAACTACAACAACGCCCGAACCTCCCAGGAAACTAGGTGTGTTATATACGTACTCCCCCCCCTCCCCCGCCCTGGCGCGCTGGACCTGGTGGAGAATGGCTGCCCTGGAGTGCAGCGAACTCAGCTTTTTCCTACCCAAACTCACGGGCCCACTGTTTGTGGTAAAGGACTAAGGAAATCCGCATGGTTCGGATGGCCACATTGACATTCGAAGTTCTCCGGCTGATACGACTGACCTTTCCAATATAATCTTCATCCTGCCAGCAGCTCATACCTAAGCTGTTGCCTATCACAACATCCTTCATTTGCGTAATGGGTTGATTGTACGCATCATAGCTAGTCCAAGTTTCATCGGGGGTTCCAAATCTTTATCTGGCCATTTTCGATTTGACGACTCAGGTCTCTCCTTAGGGTTTCACTTCTATTGTGTTTATAACCTGGGTAGATTTCAAGAAACTTCTGTTTCTAAAACTAGGCCGAGCTTCTGAATGTGCATTTGCATGTGTAGCTTCGGTTTGACTCTGAACAGACACCACCGACGTAGGGCCGTGGCTGACGCCAGTGCACCGAATCCCTCCTGAGTACACTGCTCATACTGTGCGTGCGAAGTCTGTACTTCATCAGCGCGGAAACCCCTCCCCCCCAGCTACCACTTGCAGCCAAAGTGCAACCATGGCCCAACCGTGCTCTGCTATTGGTATGGCATCTTCCCTCGGAATCCACATAGCATGGGCGTGCAGCCCACGGAAGAACGCGTTGGTTTTTGAGAACGTCCATTGGAGGAGCTCGTACAGCTCCCGATCGTTGGCATCCTATGCGTGATCAGTCTTGCCCGAGCATGTTTCTGTACACAGAACTCAAAAAATTTGGCAATGAATGAGCTCTACTGCATAGTTTAGGGTTTCTAAGGTTTACAGGGTTTAGGATTTATAGGGTTTAGAGTTTAGGAAAAGCCAAGCCAAATCTGCACAGGGTCCAGCATGTCGTCTCGTCCCGGTTGGCTTAACAGGTCGTCCAGCCATTCGCAAAGCAATATTGTATCAAAACCTTTGCCCACACCCTTTGGGAAATTCTGCAACCTTAGCTGCCTAGCTGATGGGTCCCTAGGCTGAGCTCAGACCAACCCTCTCAGACTCTACTTGCTACTGTTGTGGAACAGTCTAAGTCAGGTCAGGGGCGTCTTCATCTTGAATTTCAGCAGCGAGAACCCTTCGAGGCTGGACGATTTGCTGTTGGCCCGACACCATTGCGCAAATTCATCATATAAGGCATCTAGCCTGATCTGTGTAGATCGGCCTGGAACAACACCCAGCCTCGCAAGTAGAATCACCCCAGAGGTCGCCATTCCGGAACCGAGTCCCTGAATAGCGAACGTGTGAGCAGGATCTGTACGGATTCGCCAAGGGTCATCTGCTCCCGGAATGTTTCGGAGAGGGCTCACCTCATCTTTCCAGGGCTCATCAGCAGGGTCATCTCTTGTCCAAGTACGTATGGAAGATGTCGTAGAAGAATTATGCCAGTCCTGTCAGGTTTGTTTGTTAACTGGTTTTAGGTATGAGACAGGAAGCTGAAAACACCAAAACCCACAATCGTCTAAAACAAACTCTTTGAACAACAGTCCTGCTGCTGACACATATGGCAAAGCCTCTTGCTGGAGAATCCAGTTTCAAGGCAAAATGCCTTTCGAAGCCAGACCCAGTCTCCTTTACAGCCCAGCCAGGCCATATGGAAATGATGGGTTTCTCCGTCGCAGCTAACCTTAGGGGCAATGGGAAGTTTCGGGCAGTCTCTGTGACACAGTCGTGCGTGTGAGGCACATCCAGACCATCATGGAAAAGCGAAAGACAGTCATCCGCAAGGTGCTCGAGCAATCGGAAGATCGTAGTGTCACCATTGTAACAGCGAGATGGTATGACAGTGTAGAGAAGACGTGAGCAAAAGGAGTGCCTCAGGTAGGTCAGCTTCCGAAAAAACTGTCACGCAGAAAAAGCATCTTGACAGAAACAATTAGATGTGTGCGGAATGAAATTGCTCAACATTGCGACCTGCAACCCACTCTCATTGAGCCGGTGCTTTCCCAGATGTGAGAACAGCCCCTGGAAGCTCAGAACCATGATAGGCTGCCGATACCGTCCACGACCTTCATCGCCGTGAAGGAAGTATGGCAGCGTTGTTGCTCTGTTTAAGCCATCCCGGAACACCGGGTGGGTGCTGTCCACACGTTCGTACAAATCCCAGAACTCCTTCAGGTCTTGTTGCCAACTGTGGACTTGGGAGATGTGGTGGCCTTGTAGCAGTAGCTGTCCCCCCGCTTCCATGATATAGCGTACCCAGCTGGAAAGCTTCATAATGGGCCACGGAAGTTCTCTTACCCTTCGAGTTCGGGCGTGGCGAAAGCTGATGACTGCATGCTGGATTTCCACTTGAAGTGAGAAGTCAGAGTGGGCAAGGAGACGATGTAAGTTTCGACAGATGTTGCTGTCGGAAGAATTCGCACACTTGGCAAGCCGTTGCAGCACTGTATCACGGCGCCCTGCCAGGGGTCAAACTACAACTAGGTTTAAAGATACGATGCTTCGTGGGCCTTGTTTTACCAACTTCTTGTGCACTTTCCGGGCGAGGCGACATGTTCTGGCAGCTGAGTCAGCCTAGGTTTGGGGATGCTCAATCGAAGCACGTCTCATGTTTCTACGGCCCCAGATTTGACAAGGAACACCACTTGCAAGACCCGCCAGGAGCTCCTCCACGAGGCCATCGGAATCGTCGTCGTCCTGCGCTCCAGGACCTCAGAAGTTTCAATTTTTGTATTACTGCTATTCACTCAAAGGCTGCGGGGAGATGGATTTACATATGTCATATGCCAAGTCGTACTTCAGGACCCTGCTGGCATCAAAGCATTCCACGTCATGACCTGCGCGGGGGAAGGCTCTAAAGATACATATTCGCGGCTTGCTTGGTTTCTAGCACTTGCAGTGGCAGGCACCAGGTGTAACAAAAGCTAGCCCACAAAAGATTTATGAAGCCTTTTTTCAGCCCCTGCACCAAAAGCTTTCGCGGCAGCACTTCAATGCCACGATAAAGCGCAGCTGTCGTACACACATCTGACCATCTAGCTTGCTTTCGCCCGTTTCTTCGGCTTGACCGGTGGCTTGTTGGAAGGAGCTCGAGCTCGCTTGGCCTGGGGCTTCTGGGGTTGCGCCTTGGTCTTAGCTGCAGGTTTCGGGCTTGCGGTGGAGCCAGCGCCCTTGTTGACACTCCTGGGCTGGTAAAGGTTGCTTATCAGTTTCTTACTAGACATCCACACTCTAGCAAGATGGCTATACAAGACATTGCAGCAGCAGCTCTTTGCACGCACAATGTAGTTGTTCAGGGCCAGATCGCTTTTCGTGCATTGGATGAATAACTCGAGGGCTTCCGACTTGTACCTTCGGGCCAAGAATGACTTGACGCTCCCTCTAGAGGTGTCTCCTCCCGCCATTCCCCCCAAGAAAATTAAGGGTGCTTCGCAGACCCCTGGAGGCACCCTTGAAAACCTGTAAACTCTAAACCCTACAAACCTCTGTAGATATATTTTCAGTCCTCAAACCTTGTGACCCTAAAAAGCCCATATGAACACTAAACCCTTAGTAAACACAAAACCCTGTATGAACCCAAAAACCCTTTTAAACCCTACTACATAAACCAACCCTGTATCAACCCTATAGATGTACCTCCGGATGTCCACGTCCTTGTCGGCCGTTGCTACATTTGCCTGCAGGGTCACCAACTTCTTGTAGTGAGCGTTCATCTCACTCAGGCTCTTCCCCACATCTGAGGCAATCCTGAGAGATAAGGCGTAGATGGTTTTGATGGGTTTAGGATTGAGGGTTTAAGGGTTATATAGGGTTTAGGCTTTATAAGGTTTATGGCTTTTATATAGAGTTTAGGGAAGTTTAGGGTTACTCGTGAGGACAAGATGCTCAAGCGCTTTGGCGCCGCCCTTCTTCTTCAGCTTTTCCTTTTCCGGGGCTCTCATAGTAAATGTAGTTTAGAGGCCACACAGGCATCAAGGAAGCAAACAGATCCTGTAGCCCCAGACCCGTACTCCTGCTCAAGCTCACCCGCGTCAATCTTCTTTCCCAGCACACCAATGTAGTTTGGGAGGAGGCCAAAAGGGGAGGAATTCTGCTGTAGGGTAGGAAAGCACATCCTTGGCTAAACAAGATGAAAAAGACCGAGGATCTATTAAATGCAATCGTGAACCGGAATTTCACATATTGAATCCCTCCCTTCCTCTCTCTCTCGTAGTACTCCTAGCTCACTGTTGAAGTTTCAAGAATGGGCTTGCAATCCAGTTTCTTAAACGAAGCTCCCGCCTGAGCTGCAGCCTGGGCATCATTCGCCTGTGTACCCTGTCCACTTGATGGCACCCCGAGGTCAGCATTCTGCACATCCAGCAGAGCACCGTTGGGATCCTAGTGAAATGCAAAGCTGGGGGAAGAGGACGTGTAGACACAATCGCAGAACATGACATGGTAGTTAAGTTCCCAAGATGTAGCACAGGCACATCCATGCTGAAACCACTCTGGAAGCCGATCTTGCTTCCCGATTCGTTCGACTTTGACCATGACATGTCGAGCGGGATGTCCGCAGTCTCAGCACCGTGTACCTCTGACTTGGTTACCAGCCCACGCTGCCTGGCCCACTCGAAGGCATTGTCTGCCATGGTCCTTATGGGTAACAATTTGGGTTGAACCTGGGAAACTGCTGGACTCTTAAACCCCCAGAGGCTGAGCTTCCAGAACATGCCAACAAGACGCTTCGTGTAGTGGCGCTCAGCAATGAGATACTCCTTTGTGACTTGCCCTCCGCTTTCCTTTGATTTGGTTTTTTGCTCATGCCATCGCTCCAGAACCCCTTCGATCTTTGCAAAGCTGCCATGCTCTAGCAGGAGCTTGCGAAGGTCTTCACCTCAACACAACATGTTCGATCGGATGTACACGCACCCCGGGTGTTAAACTCTAGCAGCTATGTAGACAAGATTCGGCCTTCCTTTGTTTTCCCCATCTCCAGGACTCTAGGACTGCATTTCACCTCGCCCTTGGAGTTGGGGTTGAAGTGACGGCGTACCCTCAGCGTTGTTCGATATCTGGGCTAGGAAGATGTGAGCTGTTGGCCATTGAAGGATCTCTTTTACAAACCTTATATAGCTTCAGTGTTGTCTAGCCAAGCAGCTTCCAGTATCCTTCAGGCTTTGGGGTCTGGGCAAGCTTCGCTTGCTTTGGCTTTGGGCCAGGATGGGAACCAAACAGCTGTTTTCTGATGTTTGGCGGAGTGGTGCTTGGGTGCCTTTGGCAGGCGCCGGGTGAGCCTCGCGGGGTCTGGCTTTCGGTCGAGCTTCTGTCGCCTGTCTTGGGGAGTGGAGGCGAGTCCGCAAGATCGATCACCGGATGGGGCTCGCGGGGGTGTTTTGGGGTCTCAACCACCTGTGTCTCATCCAGAGCATCTTTGGGGGCATTCGGGCTTCGGCCGTCTGGCTGAGCCACAGCAAGCGCTGCCTTCTGGTCGCCGGGCATAAAGTGACCACTGCTCGTTGCGATGGAAGGAGCACCTACACAAGAAAGAAGACATGGGCCCAGGGAGTTCCAGACTGGGTGAGAGTGGTAAACTTCTAGAAAGCATTATGTGCCTGGCACCATGGGTGGAATAGGCTGCGCTTGCGAACAGCTGAGCATATTCTGAAGATTCGCGATGTTGGCCTGTGCTTCCTTTGCTATCGGGCAGGTAATGGTAACAAAGGCAGTCAAGCAGAAGCAGCACACAGCAGTAAACCACAACTGCAGGCAGCCGGCTCTGATCTTTTCATCAAGATCTTCATCCCCAGCCAAACTTCCAGACATGTTCGACCAAGACCGAGCTACCGCCAGAAGGCCGTCGTTGAGGGTTTCAAGCGAGGCCATGTAGTTAGTTTATATCTAGCTGGCTGAGCATTGCCTGATCACTCCACACAGTCCATGCGCAGGCAGGCCAGCACTAGCCAACTTCCAGGCCTGAACCCTTAAGAATGATGAGAACATGTTTGCAGGCTTTTTCTCTGGAACAGAATCCTCGGCAGCTTCCGGACTCTATCTAAAGCATTCCGAGCATGGCCCAGGGAAGCTCCAGGCAAAGCAAAAGAGAAACAAAAAAACGCATGAGAAACCCCAAAAACGCGCGTGACAAAACCCTCCACAAACGGATTTTTAAATTGCGCCAGAGTTGCGGGAAATTGCGCGGGAGTTGCGGGAAATTGCGCGTAAGTTGCGCTCCCCCTGCCCCCCCCCAGACCCGGAAAAACCAAAAAACGCTTGTGGCCCCCCAAAAGCGCGGGCGATGGATTCCAACCCTAAAATATCTTTGCTCCCCTGGTCCCTGCTCAGCCCACTGTCCTAGCCCCCAAGCCGGCTCTGAACAAAACCTAGACTGGCACCTTGGCACACACGAGGTACTATGACTCATTCCAGAAGCAGCCGAACGCCCGGGGCTTGGTTGGCTAGGGCACTACTCAGACGCCCTCTGTGTCGCGACCAGATCATTGTACTCCTCTCTCAAGTTGGGATAGCAGTTGACCTTGGTTGGGCTGCATACTCCGTACACATTCTAAGTTTCACGCTAGGTCTGGAATTGGGTTTCTTTTGGAGACACGCTAATGCAAAACGGGCTTGATTAGTCCAAGCTTCGTGTTCATCCAACTCTCGATCAAAGGCTTGAATGGTAGCTTCCCACGAGTCCGGGACCACTAGGTATCGGTTGCGCCGCAAATAAAAGTATACCGATGCCACACCAGCATCTTCCCATGCGTCGCTCAACGGCGTACTTTGAAATAGTTCAAGGTCTGTCATGGTAGGATTGGTGAGGTTCTTGTTGCGCAAATGCCCTTTGGATTTCTGGGCACTTTCATGTGTGAAGACCTTGAATAGCTGCCGCACAAAGCCCATGGGGTAGACCCCTAGGAAGCTAGTGCGCAAACCAAGGACACTATTCCAGCCAACAATTTCAATATCAAACCTCCCCAAAACATACAAGCTTAACCCAGGCACCCAGCTTGCTTCAGGTCACGTGTTCCAGAATAGCGCTTGACACCGGAGCCGTCCTTGTACCGTCCTTGGCGAAGTCTTAGTTAGTTGCTGGGTTTAGCCAGGGGTTATAGGGTTTTTATATATAGGGTTTACATTGGGGTTTATAAGGGGTTAGGGCGCAATTATAGCAAAGTCTAGATAGTTATTGGGGTCTAGGGTTTATAGGTTTGTGTAAGGGTTGTATAATAGAGTTTACAGTCTATAAGGGTTTAGGGCGCAATCTTATATGCAGCTAGCGTTCGCGCAGTCTGCAGCTTAGTCTTGGGCTTGCTCTGGGATTTCGGTAGTATTCCACGGTCCAAGGTCTTCACCAATGGAGAATTAGAGAATATCATTGTGCGTTTTGGTGAGCAGCTTCCCCAATGCATAAGCCAAAAGCTCTGTCTGTATACCTTAGATGACAGTGTAGCCACCACCCCACATGACACTCGGCCTTTCCGACCTGCGTAGCTTATACGGACAAGCTGCGTACGCTACGGAATTGCAAAGCCATTCGAACCGGTCGTGCCTGTAGATCAATGATGTACTCGGGTGCTCCAGCAACCATATCGTATGCTTGGCCATCATGACAAGGATTCCCAGGACGACCCTTAGCTGCATAGCAGTCTAGACGATGGATGCGTAGGAACGATGACAGCTTTGTTGCAGCTAGAGGTCCGGCTTATCATCTTGTTTGCAGATGACACACTTGGATGAGATTGCTGGCCCATGGCATTGATGAAATTTCTTCGGCTGGTACCTCTGTTCGGAAGCCCCCAAGACGCGCAATTTGGCCCCATCAGGTTCACGGCCGTAACCTTTTCGCATAAAATACACCACAGAACCAACCTCAGACAAGCTGGGCTCCGTTTTTGTCTCAAACGGTGACAAGAGCTCATTGAACACAGGTCAAGCCGCGAAAAACCTGCATCAGAGAGGAAGTCCATGCAGGCCCCGCTCTGGATTTCGATTGTAGCAACTCTGCGGTTTTGCGACTTCCTAAGTGGTGCATAGGACTGGTTCTAGAAGTGTTTAGGATTGGGCATTTTACAGACACGGTGGCTACGAGGGTTCTATCTGATCACCCAGGCACCAATGTTTGCTAGCGTTGCCAACCCCTGAAAAGAGGTCCAGGAGGTCAAAGGACTTGCCCGTTGGGAGGTTTGTTGACCGCAGCAGAAGCAGTGTGATCGCGATCAGCACCTGAGCACGCGGGAGTGTTGGTTTTTATCGTATCCCAGTACAATCAGTGGTCTGACAACATGTACTGCTGCTAAAAAGCCTTGGGCGCGCCAACATGAATGAGCCGAACAAGTAGGGATGAGTCTGGCAACATTGCAGGCCCCATTGCGCACCAGCCCAACTCAAAGCTGTAGCCTAGAGAACCTGCAGGACAACCCTATATGTAGGAACCTCTATAAGGCCTCCAAACCCCTGGGCACTTACAAACAGCCCAAGCATGTTCTGCTGAGCATGTGCGACAATCACACTTGAACCCCTCACCATACAAAGCAGCGACCATCAACATACTCTGGCACCAACACAGTGTAGCGTAGGGCCACGGGGTGAGCCTCTTTCCGCAGCACGGCGAGCCCACGCCATGGTCTCTTCACCTGCGCAGCAAGACATACTGTAGCCCTTGCCCCTCTGAGCGTTTCCACTTGCGGATTGTTCAGCTTCATACACCATTCTGCTCTGGCAAAGCGTGACAGGCTTGGCCTTGGCATCAGTGAGCACGCCGCGAAGTTTGGATGCAGCCTGGCCAGTGGAGGCACTATTAGAGGGGATATCTCGTGTAAGGATTTTATCGGCCTTGGAAAGACGGTCGGGGATCCGGTGATGTTGTGGTATCCCATGGCAGAGATCCTGCCATGTCAGAGCCCCTCTATGTTTGGCACATGGCAGTAGCTCGGCGGCCGTGGGAGCAAAAAAAAAACCTGAACCCCGAACCCTATATAAATCAAACCCTATTCTTAAACTTATTAACCGTAAAAGCCCCACATAAACCCAAAATATGCCCTATAAACCCTAAGCCCTCTACATAAACCTTTCGCAACCCCAAAAAAACCCAAAACCCTTGCCGGCGCACGCAACCCCGCAGTCCTCATGGAGCAACAGAATCAGTTGCACACAGAAAAAGTCCCGAGAAGACCTGGCCACGAGTGGATGCAGCAGGCTATCTAGTCAAATTGCGCGTGGGTCGAAAAGGAGAAGCCCTCATGTTTGAAAGGCATCGAGTGGCAAGGCAAAACCATTTTGCACGAATCGTCAGGATTGAGCAACGTACATCGCTAAGGCTTTGCCTTCTAAGGGCTGGCCCAGGCCTTTTTCCCCCAGCTAAGGCACACCCCCAAGGCAGCCACACCCTACCACACTGCTAGCCAGTGAAAAAGTGAGTCTTCGCAAACTATATACCACCAGCAGCTTCCATACTTCTGGCCGCATCAATCCTGCTCAGCGTAAGCCTTGGTTTCATAGAGCAATCAAGGATGCAAAGCACGTTAGCACACACATGCAAACACACAGCTCTAAGTATAACCAGGAAACTTTCTTGCCCAACTCGCACGCTTCTTCGATTTCTAGCCCATTATTCAGAGCTTCTGTCTTCGCTTTGTGGTATGCGCAGCTCTTCCGAGAATTGCGGGCTTTCTTTTCAGCAATCGCAGGGTCGTCTTCCTTTGGTTTGGAGGCCTTTGGGGCCTTCATGGCCTTCATGGCCTTCATGGGCTTGGGGCTTGGGGATTTCTTTAGCTTGTCCTTTTTGACTGGCTTTGCAGGGGAGTAGTGCTTCGTTTCCTGGCTGGCAGCGGGCTCCTGATCATGCGTGGCACTCTGCTTGGCGCTCTTCTTCTTTGGGCTTGCTTTGGGGTTGGTCTTGCTCTTGCGCTTGGGGCTGGGTTTGGTCTTGGGCTTGGCGCTGCTTGCTTTGGGCTTTGCTTTGGCTTTGCCCTTGGGTTTTGTGCTCTCGGCTGCATCGTCTTGGACTTTCCTAGGGCGGCCGGGCTTCTTTTTGGTCGCTTCCTCGCCATGGCCATCATCTTTCTCCTTCTTTTTTTGCGTGGTGCTTGCGCTTGCAAGCTTGCTTTGCTCCGTCGGCGAAACAACCCCAACCTTGCCCAGCAGAGATGGCCTGGAAGCCTGGCGCAAATCAGACGGCCTGGCGGCATCCTCTCTGCCTTCATGCTGCAGGGGCTTGTGTTCAAGTGGGGCTGGCAGGCTCATTGGACTTGGCGGCTTGTGATTTTCAACTCGGGTTCGCTGGCTGTTTGGCTCGGGCGTGGAGGGCTGGGTTGACAACTCCTCCCCCCCAGAAGACACTCTTCCAACAAGCTGGTTGCCACCTGGCACAGAAGCGAGCCCGAAGTTGTAGTGTTTTGAGTCATCATCATCGGGCTCTGTCTTCACAGGGGACTCGCCTGGTTCTTGCTTGATTGGACACGGCTCTTGCTTGATAGTTGGCCCCAGGAGGGGCTCTTCCTTTGGCAGGGCTGGCTCAGTCTTAACCCTCTTGTCCACACCACCCGCTGGCCAAGTCGCACCTAGTTCCCGCTTGGGCTGAAGCCCTCTCCTTGGCGGTAACCTCTTTCAAAGCTGCTGCCATTGCAGCTCCCACCATTTCTTCATCCATCTGCTGAGTCTCTTGCGTGTTCACATTACCTTAAGTGCGCACAAGTTTCTGTACGACATTTATCTGTCGCCTGCGCTAGAAACACACCAGTACATGAGTCACATAAATGCTCATGGGGGGAGGGCTCTTCTCACATCTCCAATTGACCAGGAACAGGCGACTGAACCCTCTGCTTCTTATGCAATAGCTCGACCAACTGCTGCTGCTGCTCCCACAGGGCTTTTAACAGATCACGCTTGTTGGGGTTGGACAACTTCTCAGTTGAAACCGGCTTGGCTCCTGCTGCACCTGGCTCCTGTAGCGGGGCACGTAGGTCGCTCGAAGACAGCGATGCCGTAGAGCCTTCAGTTGCGCACATTTAAAGGGGAGCCACGCTAAACAACACGCATGCTTCTACGCATTCTAAAATGCACCAAGATACCTTTCAAATCCAAGCTTGCTGCGGGCTTGACTTCACATGCCTCAGGGGCCTCTTGTTGATCTGCGCAGCTGGCCTTTGATGCATCCTTGTGTTCGTAGTTTGCCTCTGTCCATTCCTTGCCTTCGTTGTTGGCCTCTGGCCTTTCCTTGCCTTCGTTGTTGGCCTCACGCCTCGGTGAAGGTTCCAGTTCCTCGTCACTTGTGACATGCGCCTCTGACTCAGCCCCTTCATCCTGAGCGCATCCGACCTGCCACATCTAGCGCGCGATTCTTGGCTCAGTCCCCTAGCGAAACCCTCTCCAAATGTCCCTTTCCAACCTCGGCTGCAGCATCACCATCACCTCCACCGAGCTCATCCTTGGACTGAGGTTGCCGACCTGGAAGCGCAGATGTGAGGGCGTCCGAAGCTCTATGAATGCCAGCTGCCAGCTGCTCTTTGGGGTGGGGGGGGGGACGCAGTGCAAGAAAGAGACCAGGGGGAATCGGAATTCCCAGCATTGTGTACAATTTTCTGATATTGGCTTCATTCGGGCGATGTGGCTGTTTGGCGATCCGGTTAAACATCGATATCAAATTGCGCACGCGCCAAGCTTGTGTCTTGCAAAAATCACCTCAGCTCCCAGTCAATACAAATATGCATCTATCACATGTTTTCGCTGCTCTGCACTTGCACATGCCCCTACCCAAGCCAAGTAACGATCGATTGGCTTCTTGCCCTTTGGCCGGGATAGGACGAAAAAACGCTGAATGTCATCTACCAGGTGATCGACGCCTACACGGGTGCCTACTTTCAGCATGGCAGCACCAACGACATCCCAATTGAAGTCCAAGTCCCCACGTGTCAGCACACTTGGGGCAACAATGAGCCGACCCGCTGCGCCCCTTTCACAGAGGCCAGGAAGCTCAAACCAATCTTTGGCCAAGCAAGGCCGGTCAGGATCCCCCAGCTCATACTCCTCATCACCCTGACTCTTGCCCATTGCTGAAGCTGGGATCAACACAGCCACAAGACTTCAGGTACCCAAATGGTGTCAGTGGAATGTCAGTTGTTCTACTTTATATAACGTCCCGTATCACAGGCACACTAACTCTTGACCCAAGCTAGTGTTCCATTGCTTCTCATGTTTCCCTCAATGCTCATGTGTGTCTGGAAGCTGCAAGGCTGCCTAAACACATAGCAGATAGCAATTTTTGAACACGCGCCTTCCCTCTTGGGTGCACACTACAGGCTTCCACAAATCAAGCCAGGGAGACCCGACCATGAAACGCCCGGCCACCCCTGTCAGGCAGCTACTTTCACATCTACGTGGAGAAGATCCGTCGCACGACGAGACCACCCCTCTAGAAATACATATGAATATTCACTACATAAACAATATAGATATGGAGCATTCCCGGCCTCAAGCATCGGGCCGATCTTCTCCAGCTCGAGCATGAACTTTGAGAGACACCCCCCACCAAAGCACAGGAAACCACAAGAAACGCTGGACATCTAAATTTACGCGGGGGACTTATATGATTGTAGATATTCATACGTGTTTTCAGGAACTCTAGAGAATGCTCTAGCCAACGGAAATTTCCATACGGTTGGAAGATCTAGGTAAACCCTAAACCCTAAACCCTAAACCCTAAACCCTAAACCCTAAACCCTAAACCCTAAACCCTAAACCCTAAACCCTAAACCCTAAACCCTAAACCCTAAACCCTAAACACGACAGCTTGATGGGCGAGTAGTATTCAGCATTTAGGAGCTGGCCTGCCAACTTCGATCCAAGAAGCCGATACCCAGAACGCAAGGGCCAAGAATACGAAATGATACGGTACACCCGTGAATATGTTTACCAAAATCTACACAAAACCCTATTCTACTTATTTGGCCCCTGCATTCTCCGTGAGACTTTACACTCTTGAAGCTCTCAGCTTCATACATGTTACTGTGCCTGCTGACGGGTTATGTCGCCAACCCTTGAAGTAACCCTAAACCCTAAACCCTAAACCCTAAACCCTAAACCCTAAACCCTAAACCCTAAACCCTAAACCCTAAACCCTAAACCCTAAACCCTAAACCCTAAACCCCCAAGCCTTGACAGATCATGCTAGCCCCTTCTTCGGGCGCCTCTTCCGCCGCTAGCTGCTAGCGACTTTCGCTTTCCTTGCAAAAAAATTGCACCCCAACGCATCTTGCATCCTGAAGCCCCAACTCCGAAAACCTCACGCCCTTGGAACCCTAAAACCTAAACCCTAAACCCTAAACCCTAAACCCTAAACCCTAAACCCTAAACCCTAAACCCTAGACCCTAGACCCTAAACCCTAAACTCTTCTGCAGCTGGGGATGTCTCACAGCTTGCTGCGTAGTCTGAGAACAACTTGCTTCCGTGATGCCCCCCTCTCTTAAAGCACCAGGTGAACCTTAAGGTAGGGGGACCTTCGGGCCCGTTGGGCTCTACTTGGGGTCTGCCAAGCCAAAAAAAGAAACCTTGGCCGCTCAAGTCCCGAACATTGGACCATTGACATTGAGCTTGGGGTGTTTAGGGTAGGATGCTGCCATGTGCTACCTATGGTTTAAAAGGAATTACAAAGGAACTCCTTTGCCAAATGGGCCCGGCCTTCTTGCCTCTTTGCGCTTTCCTGGCGGAAGCTATTCGAGACCCACAGGCCGAAGCAGTGAGGGTTTGGTGAGGAGGGTGACAAGGAGGTTTAGGGGTTTAGGGTCTAGGGTCTAGGGTCTAGGGTCTAGGGTTTAGGGTTTAGGGTTTAGGGTTTAGGGTGGTTTCCGGGTCTTTGGGTTTAGACGGGTTAGGACTTGTAGGTGGGGGTCTTTTGGGGTGCCCATGGGTTCTGGGTTGAGGCCTTCGGAGGGTGGGTCGGTTCAGCGTTCAGGGCTAAGAGTTCAGGGACTCAGGGTTTTGAAGGGAGGCATCTCGGCATACTCAACCTGGTACAACATAGTGCAGTGTATGGTTCAGTAGAATTTGTTGTAAAATGGTAGAGTACAGTGAAAGGAAAGAATAGCATAGCCTCTCGATACAATTCTGAAGTACAAGAGTGCGGTGACAACTTGACGTATAGCTGAGGTTAGCGCTTGCAGCGTTATGAACTCACAGCGAAAGACCCCAAATCCTAAACACTGAGCATCTTAAATCATTCCTGAAGTCCTGAATATATCAGTCCTGAAAACGCCTCGTACCCCTGCCTTGCAGCCCACAAACTCGAGCCTACATCACAAACACACAAGCCTTTCGTTGGGGAGAGAACGAAAGGGATCTCTGAACCTGGAAGTCCAACGTCCCAACAGCCAAAGCTCACACAGCCCCTGCGATGAAACCCAGATAAGCCCCCGACCCAGACGCCCCTTAAACTGCGCACCGAACCAGCTGCCGCCGAAGATACCCGAGCTTGACTCTTCTCAAGCTTTTAAATGTTAAATCCCCCCAGAACCTGAGCTGCACTTCTTTCAACCCTTGGAAGGTCAGATTTCGTGAGTCGGACCTCACTCCACACTTTCAGGTGCGAAGGGGCTTTCTGGGGCCTCTATCAGTGGGTTGGTGGCTTTTGGGGGCCGTTGGCTTCCTTCTGGCTCCTTTTCTTGGAGGGTGGGCGAGGGGGAGAAATTCGGTAACCCTAAACCCCAAACCCTAAACCCTAAACCCTAAACCCTGAGACCGGGACTCACTACTCATTCCTGCACCCCTGACCCCCCCCCCTCAGGCTTTCCCTTACTCGCCTAGAACGAGCTGCTCAAGGGTATGGAAGTGCAGCACTTGTTTCTACCGCTTTGGGGTTTCAGAGAAAGCTTGCGGACCGAAGGGCTGAAGAGTGCTGACATTTCTGCACCGAAGATAGGAACTTCCAGTTTCGCGCGAGGCGCATTACGCAAACAGTAGTTAGTGCGTCAGGCTAGAAGCTTTGAGCTTTCGGAATTTGAAAGCTACGGGTAGTCTTATGGGAAACTTTCGGATCTAACGCCTACGCACAAACCCTTGAAACGTTGAGCCCTAGACCTAGGCCCTGTAAGCCCTAAACCCTATCCCCACAAGGCCCCAAACCAAAGCTTGGAGCCAAGCGTGATAGCTTTCAAACCTTATGCAAGCCCGTAAACCCTCACACTCGTTTCTCAACAATCCTTAGTCGTTCACCTCTCTGGATCACCCGTAGGGTTTAGGGTTTAGGGTTTAGGGTTTAGGGTTTAGGGTTTAGGGTTTAGGGTTTAGGGTTTAGGGTTTAGGGTTTAGGGTTTAGGGTTTAGGGTTTAGGGTTTAGGGTTGCACAGGTTTGAAACGGTTGGGAAAAGGGGGGGCGATCCTTGTCTGCTTGTTCCTGACTCCTCTGCGGAGGCCTAGGAGTACTTCGTTCTGAGCCTGCCTCAAAACCCCAACGCAACTTCGTCAAAGGGAGAAGTGTCCAATGCCAGGGGTTTGAGTGGCCTACCAACTTCAGTGCTCCTGGGACGGACCACAAGCCCAAGGCTGCGCCCATGTAGGGTTCGGGGTCTTCGGTGCTGTGGAGATTTCCCTGAGCCTTCCAGAACTTCTAGCACTGATGCTGCAACCTGGCCGCGCTTGCCGCGTGCGTAGCCGAGTTGGTGCCAAACCGGGAAATCGGAAAAGTAGGGCCCGGGAACGACTTCCCGGTCTCATTCAGCGGTGTTTTCTTGTCCAGTTCAGTACTGCTCACAGGTTTACATGCCACATTTGCTTAATCCGCATCCCCCCCCACCCGCCACACGCATTGAAATATGTACATATGTATATATATATATATATGTATGTGTGTTTATATATGTATAAATAAATAAATAAATATAAATATATATATATATATATATATATATAGTTCATTCCCTCGGTCCCTACCTACTAAAGCCAGCGTTTTTGCGATTGCCCTAAATCCTACTTTAAAGCCCTCAACACAAAACTCAAAGAATCAGGATCCCTTCATGAATTGGAGAACTGGAGGAACGTCCAATGCCAGGTGCTTGAGTGGCTGTCCAACTTCAGTGCTGAGACGGACCACGAGCATGACACAAGGGCCATGTGCATGCTTTGAGTTATGGATTTGGGGTGGGGGGGGGGGTTTTCTGTCAAGAAGTTCAGGAATCAAAACCGAGAAGGACTGTGGGTACCAGGTGCCAAACAGACAGTGTCACTTCAACTCAACGAAGCCGGCCAGGGGGTATGGAACTGGTGAGCACGCTATACACACAGTAGTTGCTATTGTATGTTGTTTGCTTTCACCTTCTATCCTGTATGACGCTTTACTATAGGACACCATGCCACAATGACCCTATCATTTTTGCCAGACTCAAAAAGTCCCACAGGGCCTGTCAAAGGCATGTCCGGGCTTCCCTTTGTCGCGCAGGAAGCCAAGCCGATCTTGGCTAATGGCCACCTTCGATTCAAGTCAGCTCGGACCTGTGCCTCGGTGAGGGCTTGCGATGTTCCCCCCCCCTTTTAATTTTAACGCTACGCGACCCGCCTCGGCCCGGCCCAGCGCATCCGCGTGAGCATGGTGATTCCCCGCGCCCAAGTCGCTGGCCCCCAGGGTTTAGGGTTTAGGGTTTAGGGTTGAGGGTTGAGGGTTGAGGGTTAGTTTAGGGTTGAGGGCTTCGGGCTCAAGGTTTGTGTTTTGGGGTTTAGGGTTTTTGGGTTTAGAGTTCAAGGTTCAAGGTTCAGGCTTGGACAGGGTTCGTAACCTAATGCTCACAGCTGGGCCGGGCTTCGACTGCCCCTGGTCCTGGCGAACCGTCCGCTTTCAGATCGTGGTCGCCCACAGGGGGTACCCATTCCAGGCAAAAATATTGGGGGGCTTAAGCAAAAATTTGGTATTCGGGGGTGCCTGTTCTCACAACCTCTAAACCTTTGGCCCGAGGCCTCGGCGGATACTAACAGTCCTTAATATGGGATTATAGTACGGGTTGCCCCTTCAATACTAACAGTCCTTCATATGGGATTATAGTAGGGGGTCAAAGGGGAAATTTCAAGTGAGGGCTTATAATGGTTGGGCCAGGTTGAGTTGTTTTTGCGTGGAGCCGGCGCCGGAAAAGCTTCGGAGGTTCTGGTACTATGATGTACTGTGGTATACTCTAACATACTCGAGTTCACCATGGTGTTGCGGAATTTGCAAGGGTTCCGATTTTTCAAAAGCATGGGGTAGTCTGATGAAGCAGCCAAACAACATTGCTTTGAGCAGTTGATGGCCGCTCTGCTAGTAGGGGGTACTTGCAGCGGCGCCTCCACTCAGGTAATACACACGACAGGAAGGCAGAAGCGAAGATGCTCCTGATGCTGGGTTGCTGTCAAGGAACTTTACTTCCAAGTTTCTGGACATCACGACGTTTGCAACAAGGTTCCTAAACAAAGGCACGACTCCCTCATCAGCCCAGGACGGTGCTCCGAAAGCTGGGTGTTGCAGAGAAGGATTTGCAAGGAGATCACTGCGAAATTGAAGGGGTGAGATGCTGGGGCGGGGTGGATCCGGAGGCTTGGTCGCTCTTGGAAATGATGTTTCAGGTTTAGTGTTGACCGTTTATACAAGAATTGACATATGCACACACTGTATACTGCATATATATATATATATTATTGTGTGTATATATACATGTATGTATATGCTTCAGCAACTCAGGACACAGATGAAGAGGGGTGCGTCGATGCAATCAACATGCGGCAGCAAGGCCTGACCGGGGAGTTGCCAGCGGAGATCGGGGAGTTGGCTTGGTTACTTAGTGGCCCAGTGGTGCCCTTTACTTTTTCTTTTGCTTGGTTTATGGGTTCCCTTATAAAACTCACCTAGCCAAAAAAAGGGTGCCCTTGTTGCAATATGGTTACTGGTCTACCAAGGTTGGAGTTGCTGGACATGAGACGGAACCACCAGCTTACTGGGAACCTGGAGCTCTTGAAGAATCTCAGCAAGTTAGAGTACCTGGATCTCAGCCATACGCAAGTCAGCGGGCAGCTGGGGGCCTTGAAAAGCACGGGCACACTGACGAACCTGCTTCTCGAAAGCACCGGCGTGGCTGGGCGGCTGGAAGACTTGCAAAGGATGGGTCGATTGACAGAGCTGCGACTGCAAAACACCCAGGTCGCAGGGGAACTGAACTGCCTCCGCCACATGACCCAGATGAGGGTCTTGGGCCTCAGCCACACGAATGTCGTGGGGCAGTTGGAGAATCTGCGAGACCTGTCCCACATGTCCACGCTGTCTTTGGGAAATCTACGGCTCGAAGGCCGGCTGGAGTCCCTGAAGCGGCTGAAAAGTTTGCAGCGCCTGAACCTCGTCAAGACGCAGATCTCAGGGGGCTTGGAGGCCTTGCAGAACTCGACGTGGATGGAAAAGCTGGAGCTTCGCGGCACGGGGATCTCCGGCGACTTAAGCGCCCTCAAGGCCACCCAGGGGGCCACTTGCTTAAGAACCCCACGATAAAAGGGTGAAGTAAGGATTATTGTTCTTTATTTTTTGGGGGGCTCTTGAGCAAATAGTAGAAAGTGAGAGATTTTTTAGGGATGGCGGGCCGTAAGGTTCGAGACCCAGGTTTTCCTGGCGTTGCTTTTCTTGTGCCTGGTTTAGGGTTTAGGGTTTAGGGTTTAGGGTTTAGGGTTTAGGGCTCTTGAGTGGACATTGGGTTGCTGGAGCTCTTTCGAGCTGAGGGCTGAGGAGCCGAAGGATGTAAAGCGATCCCCTGCAAGCCGAAGCCCAAAAAACCCATGCGCTTTTTAGCCCTACAGTTGCAGGAACTGGTACCCGACGGATTCCGAGGGTCTTAGGGGCTTGGAGTTCATAAACTCAAACCCGAAGCCTTCGGTTCCCTTTTTGAAGTTCCCAACGAGCCCCACCGCCACTATCAAGGAAGATAAGAAACGCCTTGAAAAGCCTAACGCCCTAAACCCTGAACCCTTGTGCAGGGTGTGCCGGTACTGAGAATTCTGGACCTCAGCGCCACCTACATCTCCGGTGATATGGGCGCACTCCTGGAGTTCGGCATGCTCCAGAAGGCCAGGGCAAGTACCGTGAGGACCAACTGAACCCTAGAATTTCGGGGGGGCGGGGGGCGGGGGGGGGGGGGTCATATACCCTATTCTACTACAATCCCTATTAAGGGTTTAGGGCTTAGGGCTTAGGGTTTAGGGTTTAGGGACCCATAAACCTTCCAGGGCTCATTCCATCCCAAGTGAGCTCCCTGGAACTTCATATGCAAGTCCCAAGCGAGTTGGTCCTTTCGAGTTGTGACCTTAGGCCCTGCTGGCGCATTCACAGGTGCCTCGGCAGAACCCTGTTTTGGGCACCCGAATCGCTGTACCCTATACCCTAACCTAAACCCTAATACCCTAAACCCTAAACCCTAAGCCCGAATCCCTAAACCCTAAACCCCAGCAAGCATCTCGCAGGCGTTGAGCCTTTTTGACCTTCGCAAGGTGTCGGGTCGCCTGAGCGCTCGATGGCGTGCGCAGCTGCCGCAACTTCAAGTGCTGGATCTCACCGCCAGGGCCTTTGATGTTTATTGATTGTGTGCTTTTAGGGTTCAGGGTTTAGGGTTTAGGGTTTAGGGTTTAGGGTTTAGGGTTTAGGGTTTAGGGCTTCTCTGCGAATTCCGCGGCGAGGGGAGCAAGGCCGAGTTCGTGCCCGATGCTCACAGCTGGCGCGGCAGCTACGAAAATTTTGTTGCGCCTTATCGGCCCTTATCTCCTCCGTCAGTTTAGAGCCTACATGCATATACGAAGGCTATGCTAAATCATGTGCCGGTGCACATATACTAAGCGTCATAGGTTTAGGGGTTTTGTTCGCAAGATCTGTTAAATTTCAGAAGGCCCCCAGAACCTGCTCCCCGGCTGATAAGGTACTGCCAGCCCTGAACCACTTGAGTGCCACTTGCCCGCAGCTAAAGAATGAGGCTCTCATAATTCGAAGTTCTGGTCTTGCTGGGGGACCCCTAAGTAGGGGGTACCCTTGGGCTTGGGGGGTACCCTTTTGCAAGATCCCCAAGGTAAGATAAGGGGTCATGTCGGGAGTGTATTAAGGAAAACTCTGTATGGGGTAAAAGCTTTGGCATTGTCTGAAATCCCTTGAATGGGGACCTGGCCAAAGGAAGGTTGTTAGCATTGTTCGGACGGAGGGAGGACGGGGGTAATACAGCCGAGGTTTCTGGATGCCCACTGAAGTGTTCGGTGGACAAGCTGCTGCGGCCCTTGGCTCGTTCTGGGCACCTGGCAAAGGTGGAAGCAGCGGGCTGCAAGCTCACGGGTGTGTTGCCCGACCTGCGCTTGCTGGCTGTGGTTGAGAGTGAAGACTCGGTGAGACTCCGACAAGCTGCTCCGCTCGCCAACGCCATTCAAGTGCTGGACCTCTCCAAGAATGCCCTGAGCGGCATTGATTTTCTGAATGCGGCCACGCTGCTCTCTTTGATGGATAACGAAAGGCCCTTGGCGATGCGCAGGGGGCTGCTGAGCCACGCCGTGGAGCAAGGAATCCGCCTCGAGCTCATGAACACCTCCATCACGGCCAGTGGCAGACTGGAGGCAGAAGAGCTGCTGAGGAAGGGGAATCTGAGCAGAACCCTTGAGATGGCGCAGGTCAACAAAGCCGAAGGTTACTTCTGCTACGACTTGGCAGATGGCCCCTTGCAAGTCACGCCTGCCCTGGTCCTCCCGGAGCTCTGCAGATGTCTGCCCGGGTGGCAGGGCGAGCGAACCTTAGGGGTACCTTTGAAATCTGTTTTTAATACCTTTTTTGGGTACTAAAAGCTCCTAAGAAACAGAAAAAGTCTACAAACTTTGCTGGGGTGTCCAAGCTCAGTCTAGGAACGAGCTGCAGGAAATGCGGCCCTGGCCACTACAACCCAGACTTCAACAGCTCCCAATGCACCCCCTGCCCGGAGAATAGCGGCCACGAGGAGCACGGAGCCAGCTACCTCGAGAGCTGCCTATGCGCCTACGGGAGGCCCCCGAGACTTTGGGAGTGTGAACCCTGCTAATTTGCTTATAAGAGCCCCGAAATTAATGTGTATCATCTTCCTTGTTAAGGGTAAGAAAGGGATTTTTGTTTATTTTTATTCTCTTGGGGTTCTTCTTAATTAAGCAAATAGCTGTACCTGTCCTTCGTGGGTTCAGAGAGGGTCTGGTTCCAAAAGGGTCCCCAAGTTCTGTTGAAGTACGGCCTTCATCCCAGAAACCCTCTTCCGCCGGTGCAGGATCTTCAACTCGGGCAAGAAACCCAGCTGTCTCTGCGAGCAGCGCACAGCACTCCTGGAGAATGCTTGCAAAGACTGCAGCGAGCTTCACTTGGACCGGGCTCAGGGTCTCAGGGAGTTCACGGGTTTCAGCCTTGCGCCGTTGAAGAAGGTCCTGTCTTCACGGTCTGGGGACCGAGCATCACGGCACATTTAAACCATATATTTAAATTTTAATATGGCAAACTACGCGCAAGCCCAGAACTTTGGGATCAGCAGAATCAGCAGGCTTCAAGGAAAACGGCTTTGACGGCTTCGGCCTTTTTTCGAGGGCTTCAGGTCAAAGCAGCTCCAGAACGCTACGTTGCAGGAGTGCCCCGAAGCCGGCAGCATCGCAGAGACAGCGCCCACAAAGAGGGGCTACGCGCGGTTTGAGCCCCGATCTCCGAACGCCTCAAGGCTGGAGCCCCCTAAACCCTAAACCCTAAACCCTAAACCCTAAACCCTAAACCCTAAACCCTAAACCCTAAACCCTAAACCCCCTGAGAGCCATCCCAAGCCTCTACAAAGCCTTTAGCCCTGCCGCGGGAATCCCCAACAAGGCTCACGCACATGGATGAAGGTTCTAGACTCAGACTTTAGGGTTTAAACCCTAAACCCTAAACCTAAACCCTAAACCCTAAACCCTATAAACCCTAAACCCTTTCGTAATCAGGGCAGATGCCTCTTGCAATCTATGTAAATGAGATGTGCAGTTCAACTTCAGCTTTCACGGTCCGATTGGGCGAATTTAGTTCACAGGAATAATTTATGGGTTTAGGGTTTGCTGAAGCCTGAAGTGGTAGATTGCCAGAATGATAACCATTATTGTCTGTATTGTCTTACAGTGGCGAAATTGCTTCCACGCGTCATTCTAGTCTGAAAGGAAAGTGTCTTGTTGTGGTTGCCAGCGCAACTTTTACCAAAAAGAGCTTATAAGCGCTGCTAGGAGCAAGTTCAGAAACCTTGTTTGTTGACACAGGTTGAGCTGCATTTTTCTCCTCCAAGGTTGTAGCATGGTAGTCGCTTTGAAGGGTACTGAAGTGTTTCGGCGACAGTCCGGATATTGCTCATGGTTGATGCATGGACTTTTCCTCATTTCCAATCTTCCCCCAACATTGACTTGGTTCCTTCAGACAGTCAGACAGTCAAGATTCTTCCAGAGCTTATCGGCATACTTATGGCCACAGCTTGTAGATTTGTAGATGTGTAGCCAATGTAGTGCGCACCCGTTCTCATGTAAACCATCTGCGGCAGCATTGAGGTTCCACGAGCTTAGGAAGCAAGAGCCCCAGCGAAGTGGACACAACGAACTCCCTTGCACCGCCGCGGTCAGCCGCGCCATAGAATCCGTAGAAAACCAAGGACGACTGAGGAGTATCGGAAGAGCAGTCAATCACTTTTCTAGGGTTTAGGGTTTAGGGTTTAGGGTTTAGGGTTAGGGTTTAGGGTTTAGGGTTTAGGGTTTAGGGGGTGTTGGGGCGCCTGCAGTGTGCCAGGTGTTTGGTAGAGGCGCGCTGCGACGCTTCCTCGGAGCTGGGCTGCGCACAAGGCTCCGCTATGCTTCAGTAGGCTCCATTCCTCTTACTATTCTCATTATCATTATTATTATTATTATTATTAATATTATTATTATTATTATTATTATTTCGAACTGGGAGCCTTCTCCGCTGAGGCTACGCCGGGCCCTTGTGCGTCGTTTGCGCGGAGGGCTTCCGCAGCAGCGCCGGCCGCTGCAAGGAGTGCACGCGGGGCAGCAAAAAGGCTTCCCCTCGGCTGCTTGCGACGGCAGTGGCCCTGCCACTGCTTGCGGCTGGAGCCTTCGTTCTTTGGAGGAGCCAAGCCAAGCCAATGGCTTAAATTACCAGTAGCTTACTACTTACCCCAAACTCTCAGCACCGGTTTGCTTCCACAGCAAGGCTGCCAGAATTAGTCTGAAAGGACTGACAGTGCGATCCGGAATGGTGTGCGGACAGATTGTAAGCTCTAGTATAGTCATTTCGTCCAGATTTGGCCAGAACCCTTCGCTTGCAGGTGTGCCCATCCCAGACCCCAGGATTAGAAACTTAAGATCCCAATTCGTTGAAGGGGTTGGGGGGGGCACCGAACTTCCTGAAATCAGCCTGGCTCCTGCACAAGCCTAAGCTCACGCTGTCTGACAGCCCTCAATGAAGGCCCTTGAATGGAGAGCGAAGTCTCCAAGTAGGCTCCACTCAACATA